GAGATCATTGTTAGATCTCTCTAAGTCTACCTAAGATTGTTGTTAGATCTCTCTAAGTCTACCTGGGATTGTTGTCAGATCTCTCTAAGTCTACCTGCGATTGTTGTTAGACCTCTCTAAATCTACCTGAGATTGTTGTTAGATCTCTGCTGTGTCTACTTGAGATTGTTCTGAGATCTCTGCTGTGTCTACCTGAGATTGTTGTTAGACCTTTAAGTCTACCTGGGATTGTTGTTAGATCTTAAGTCTACCTGAGATTGTTGTTAGACCTCTCTAAGTCTACCTGGGATTGTTGTTAGACCTCTCTAAGACTACCTGAGATTGTTGTTAGATCTCTCTAAGTCTACCTGAGATTGTTGTCAGATCTCTCTAAGTCTACCTGAGATTGTTGTTAGATCTCTGCTGTGTCTACCTGAGATTGTTGTTAGATCCTTGCTGTGTCTACCTGAGATTGTTGTTAGATCTCTGCTGTGTCTACCTGAGATTGTTGTTAGACCTTTAAGTCTACCTGGGATTGTTGTTAGATCTTAAGTCTACCTGGGATTGTTGTTAGACCTCTCTGTGTCTACCTGAGATTCTTGTTAGACCTCTCTAAGTCTACCTGGGATTCTTGTTAGACCTCTCTAAATCTACCTGAGATTGTTGTTAGATCTCTGCTGTGTCTACCTGAGATTGTTGTTAGAGCTCTCTGTGTCTACCTGAGATTGTTGTTAGACCTCTCTATGTCTACCTGAGATTGTTGTTAGATCTCTGCTGTGTCTACTTGAGATTGTTGTTAGATCTCTCTAAGTCTACCTGAGATTGTTGTTAGACCTCTCTATGTCTACCTGAGATTGTTGCTAGATCTCTCTATGTCTACCTGAGATTGTTGCTAGATCTCTCTAAGTCTACCTGAGATTGTTGTTAGAGCTCTCTGTGTCTACCTGGGATTGTTGTTAGAGCTCTGCTCCATCAAGGATGAATTAAGTTCATCAGCTGAATCACGCAAACTTTTATATGTATCCCAATTGATCAGATATGTTCATGAAATCAAGATTTAGTTATTTTATGAGTGCTTCTATCGGTTATAATGTCAATGTTGACTGTTAAACCAGGCTGACATCATTATCAGTATAAATGATCAATCTTTAATTACACATCAATCGATGTGAAAATACCTGACTTTTCATCTGTTTTACTTGAGATACATCAACTCCTAAAATGATTCATCTCCATAAAGCATTTCATTTTCGCACAGCCCATTGTTTCCCCTATTTATAGACAGTAACCACAGCTTCCCTGTCATAATGGATGCTGACTAGGGTCTACAACATGTAATTGAAAGCTTTCCAATGATGGTGAGAATCCAAGTGGCGCCATGAGATGAGGGAGAACTTTATGACTTGCTTCAGGAATTACTTCCAATATTTCGCATATTAAACCATATTGATTAGCCATCTGGCGAGAAAATGAAGTTGTTGTAATGATGATACAGAAGTTACACCTACATTGTTGATTGATTTTGAGTAAATTCATCTCAGTAGATCGATACGAGAGCAGGTTTGATCAATACTCGGTGGTGGGCAGGGATGTTTGGTAATGAAGTTATTCTTCTATACATGGCATCAACAGCAGTTTGCCATGAAATCTGGGTCCGATAATTACGTTAGAAATGCAAGAGTGACAGCAATGGCACCTTGCACACGTCCGCTGGGTGTCCTGTGGCTGTGTATTAGTGAACAAGAAACGTGCTGATCGGTTGCATGTAAAATGCTGTTGGATTCTTAACCGGAAAGTTGGAATCAGGATTTGGAGAGACTTTTAAGGTAATTTTAAGAGTGTGTTGAATGTTTGAGTTTTGTTCTGTTTGGGGAGCACAAGTGGTCCAAATTTTATTTGATATGAAGAGTTGGCTCCCTTAAATGTGCCAGGGTTTGCTACTCATAGGGGTTTCAATCCCAAATTTGCTGCAATTACGACTTGAATCACATTTAGCTGTTAAGTTTTGTAGATTGGACTCTCTTCTCTCTCTCACTCTGTTATTGGGTGAATGATACTTTGTGTCATACTGTTGTTAGGAAAATACTTTTACTCTGGGGCAGAATAATCTAAAGTACCATATTATTGGTAAAAATTTGTCAGTTTGGCTTCTAACATTTCATAGGATGAGTCATGGGTGGAAACACCTACACAAGCTATTATGGAATATAGTCGTGACAAGAGACTCTAGGAAATAAAAGTTTAAAATGGTATTATTTTTCGTAATTGCACCATTAAGTACAGCTTAAGATATGAATACATTGTTTATAACAATAACTGGTTTGGCATTATGGAGGAAGATTCTGATGGAGTGATCTGCTCACCTCAGTCTAGAGACTATAGTTTATGAACAACTTATGAACACTCCACTTTTTTAAAACCAGATATAAAAAATATAAATTACGTCTTGGTTTTTTTAAATCAAGGTCCACATGATTATTTACAGACTACTGGAAAAGCTGGACTATTTCTGAGTGCAGCGTTGAACAGCAAACAAATCAAAACATAAATTGTTATTCTAGTGTACTGCCAGAACATTGTCATTACTTGGTGTCTATCTATGTTATACAACCTGAAAATACTTTATTCAGTCTTTCTTTTGAGTTCAGAGAAATATGCTATTTCCCCTAACAGTATGCCTCCGTTGAAACTAATTGCAGTGAGTGATGCCACATGGAGACATGGATGTTTTTAGTTCCTCAGAGAAATATCCCAGAGTGAGTGTAATTTCCCCCGAAGAACATGTTTAGTGAAACAGTCCTGTAAGTTAATCACTCGGATTGATTTAAGCGCTGTCCTTTAGATGAAGTCAGTTTTGGATTGAAATAAAACACTGATCCCATCTCAACATGTATAGCATTACAACCCACAAAGGGCATCTTCATCTGTTTATCATGTCTGTGTTCGAGAAATGGCAGAACTAGATGCTTTTTTAACGATATCACGAACCGTTATTCAAAGAATCGTTTTGGACTTATATTATATTTTGATACCCAGGAGAATAGCTTGTCCATAAATATATTTCAGAGAGAGTGGTTAGTTTGTTCTACAATTTGCTTATGGTGTGAATATGAGGTATTTGTGACACATTTGCTATAACTGAATTTTAAATTCTTTTAAATCTATGGCATTTTATGATATTCTGCTCTTTATGGAAGCTGTTCTGGAGGACTGTGGTTTTAGAAACTAGTTAGTTGTCGTTGTAATCAAGTTGGTCCTTGATTGTTTCTTTGGATCTTACTCCTTAATACTGCATTGCATATCCTTAACATCAAGATGATATTCTACATGATGTCTTGATTCTATGACACTGCAGCATTTCATACAGTAATACTACTGCTGCGTAGTCTCTGATGTTTAGAAATGTAGACCCCCATGAAGAAAGAATCTTCAACAGCTCATGCTTGTTATAAGGGGCAACTAGCAGAATCAGATGTAGCCTTGCTCCAAGGCTGTACTGAATGCTATGCCCATGGATGTACAGTAATTCTGTCCTTTACAGAGGCAAGTCTAATAAGCGGACAGTACAAACACGCCAGTCCCTTATTTATATTTTTTAGAAATTATTATTTAAAATAATAATTATTACTTGAGAGACTTGTGCAAGTCTAGATTGGATGGTCACACTAGATTTTGTTGATGTATCTCGTATCCAATTTGCAAAGATCATTGCACTTGATGTCAATCGTGGATTGTTTGGTTCAGATGCGGATTAATTCAGAATATTGCTAAGTTTGACAATAAACAACAAATGAACAGTTGTCTTGAAAGCACTTTCTACAGAGTCAGCCCCAAGGTCGAGGAGGGCGCAAGTTAAGCTGCCTGTTGATATGAAGGGCTTCTACAATCCATTATATACGCTTGACAGGTCCTGTGAAGGGGGTTAACTTTAGATGGATTTGATTCCAGTGACAATGACTTGAGTACCCAATACAAAAAGTTCAGAGTAAGACAGGAATAATTTGTCTACATGTAGAGTATCTAACCTGACAGTCTTTCGATATCAACATATCAACATGAGGTGATATTAAAACCTTTAAGCTCAGTGATTTTTATCAGCAAGTGTTGATACATTTAAAAGCAAAGAGATCATTAATCATTCGAAATAATTCATCTTCTTTTGGTTTCAACGCTAATAACCTGTGTTATGTTGATAACATTCAGACCGAACCAGCCTCTGAGAAAGATTGATTCGGATTAACATTTGATTGTGATATCATGATAACCAATGATTTCATAATGTCTGTAAATCATTCAATTTCATTTCACCCAAGCAAGAACTCCTGTGGAAGTCATTTTTAGTGATAGATGACGGATTTACTTTTCAAATACATGTGTGGCAGACTGTAAGAGAAGCAATCTGGAAGCAAATAACTACCAAGTTGCTAAGAAAAGGAGGAAGGTAGACACTATTAACCAGGGGAGACAACCTGCTTTTCTCAAACAGCAAAATAGAAGTCTGATTAATTTGCCAGATCCATCTATACTTATTTAGTAGATAGGAGTCAACTGATAAAACATCAACTTATGTCAGTGGCAAAACATCTTTTGTATTTAAAGTTCACATAAGGAATAGCAACTTGTGTTCATACATTTAACATTACTCGTTGTATAAACTTGTTATGTATCAGTATGTGACATGACAATACATATCATGGAAACTGCTTTAGAAACTGCCTAAATTAGCTTATTGTGACAAGTATATCAACACAAAAAGTCACTGCATGACATAAGGACCCATACAAATTTAAAACTACTAAAACATGAAATCTGGTACTCCTAGCACTTATTTTGAATGCTGATTGCAAAGCACAGAATGTTCATTGTTGAAACATGTAATCGATTAGTGTTATATGTGTTGATTGACTTGGAAATCCATTTGTTTTCAGGTTTCATGGTGTTAGTTAAAGAGTCAACCCACATGGAACTTTTCTTTGATATGTCAGTTGTACAGATGGTTGACGTGTTGTATTTTGTTGTAGCTACAACAGCTGGTTGTGAGCGGGGATTTGCCATGTGCCAAGGAAGAAGCAGCAACTCTTGCCGGGATACAGCTGCATATTGAGGAGGCGTGGCCAGAAGAGGGCCAGTTGACCAATCACACACACAGCTGGGAACACGTGTCACCAATCGAGAAAATCTCCAACCATGAAAAACTTTTCAAAGTCACAAATGTTTCACAGCAGGAAAATTTAAAACGGAAAAAAGAACTGATTCGTTCAAATCAAGCTCAGCGCATCACCAGTACGCGCAGGAAAGGCAAGCTTGTGCGGAGTTTAATGTGTACGAGTGACAATGAAATAGAAGGTTGCGAACAGATCGATCTCTCCAACTTCCTCCCTCCTCACTATACAACATCCAAGAAGGTTCGAGAACTTATCAAGGTAAGCAGCAATATACTTGCAGTGAGTCCGTGAGAGAATGTGTTGTTACTGCCATTAGCAGTATTCCTAGCAAGGGTCAAATGTTGTTTTTAAATATCCATGGTAGATTTGGTTGGTTGTTTAACGCAGCACTCACCAATATTCCAGCTACATGGCAGCAGTCTGTAAGTAATCGAGCCTGGACCAGGCATCCCAGTGATTAACAGCATGAGCATTGATCTACACAACTGGGATACAACGATATGTGTCAACCAAGTCAGCAAGGCTGACCACCCGATCGTGTTAATCGCCTCTTACAACAAGCATGGGTTACAGAAGATCAATTCTAACCCAGATCTTCACATGTGTCCATGCTAGAGATATTATGAGCTATTGGGAAATACTTTTTCCTAGTTGCCAAAGGGAGACAAGCACTTGGGGAATATTTTGCTATGTAAATACCTAGTGCAGACAAGAATGAGGTACTGGGGCAATACTATGAGCTTGAATACCTCGGGGAGACAAGCATGGGGTACTGGGGAGTACTTTGACCTTGAATACCTAGGGGAGACAAATATGGGGTACTGGAGAATACTGTGACCTTGAATACCTTGGGAAGACAAGCATTGGGTACTGGGGAGTACTTTGACCTGGAATACCTAGGGGAGACAAGCATGGGGTACTGGAGAATACTGTGACCTTGAATACCTAGAGGAGACAATCATGGGGTAATGGAGAATACTGTGACCTTGAATACCTAGGGGAGACAAGCATGGGGTACTGGAGAATACTGTGACCTTGAATACCTAGGGGAGACAAACATGGGGTACTGGAGAATACTGTGACCTTGAATACCTTGGGGAGACAAACATGGGGTACTGGAGAATACTGTGACCTTGAATACCTAGGGAGACAAGCATGGGGTACTGGGGAGTACTTTGACCTTGAATACCTTGGGGAGACAAACATGGGGTACTGGAGAATACTGTGACCTTGAATACCTTGGGGAGACAAACATGGGGTACTGGGGAGTACTTTGACCTGGAATACCTTGGGGAGACAAACATGGGTACTGGGGAGTACTGTGACCTGAATACTAAGGTGGATGGTAGCATACGGTAAGTTACTTTGGAATATTTTGTCTGGAGCTCCTAAGGGAGACCAGCATGGGATACTGGGCAACACTAAATCCTTTTGAGGATGCGGGCATTGGAGTACTTTTTGAATTCTTCAATCTGACCTGTAACTCACCATGGAAGTCAAGCATGAAGATCACATAACATGCAGTAGCTTGAGCATGTAGATTGTTATCATGTATCAAAATCCAAACTTCTCAATCGTCCTCCGAGCTGTTTCCTTCCACTCTCCACTGTACGATATCACTTGACAATTGTATAAAGTTACTCACACATAATTAATGCAAGGGGGAACTTTAACAGCACAAGTTAACTGCTTAGAGCGTGCATATTCAGATATCAGTAATGTTTCTTAGTTCTTTTTTGATAACACTGCTCTCAGTAATATTCAAGCTGCATTACGTCAGACTGTAAATAATTGAATAATGGAAACCAGACAATACAGTTAAAGTGTTCCAGGATATGATCAGTGAAGTATATTGTCACATCAAACACGCAGAAAGAGCTTATTTACATTTTAATGAAAGGAATAAAATCTACATGGGGATATAATTTCATAGCTTATTTGCATTTTAATGACAGGAATAAAATTCATAACGGATATAACTTGAAAATGTAATAAATCAAAGCATTTTGTTATGTCCCTCTTAGACTAACAACTAGTCTCTGAAATGAACATATTCTACAGAAGAAAAGCTCATAGTAAAAAAAATTAAGATATAATGAAAAGGAGCCCTGAGACTTTCTTCCAGACTTGTGTGGGCTTTCTTGGATATATTTGCTTCAGGGTCTGTATGACAGACTATGTGCCTCTGTGAGACTTCCTTAGCAGTATCTCATGTTTGTGTCACTAATGTGGATTGGTTGGCTGCAGATAGTGAAATGTCTGATGGTGCATCATGAATGGTTCCACAGGGAAGTGGATTACAACTTCTGCTAGGTATGATCATCTACAGGATAGTGTGTCAAAGAAGATCGGGATAAAACTTGATCTTCAGCCTCTCATGCTGGCTAACAGGACTGGGTGGCAAGACTTGCTGGCTTGGTGGATGTATGCAGTTGTATCCCAGTCTTGTGGATTGTGTTCATAATGTCAATCACTGGATTGTCAGCTCCAGACTCAATTATTTGCAGACTGCAGCCAATAAAATAATTAGGTAGGTAATCGAGTAAGGCATTATTTCAGCCATACTGCAACCATTTAGATAAAAGAATTTAAGTGGCCAATTGAGTCAAGACCATTTAGATGTAACAGTTCAGCAGACAAATAATAAAGGAATATAGTTTCAATATTTTTGTGTTAAATTGAAATGATAATTTCTGTAATTAACCCTAACAACAATAGTTAAGAGACACTCATAAAACAACAACAAATTGAATGTCACCTACCCCAAGGTTTTTGAAAATGATCCTGTATACCAAGAAGTGAAATAGAAGACTAAGGAAGCCATGCAGTGCTGTAGCAGTTGGTCACTGTAGGCAGTGTTTTAATACATATATGTGTATGTTGTGTGAGTGTAATAGCAGGCCTCATGTATCGTGCAGTGTTTAAATACCTATGTGTGTGTGTGTGTTGTGTGAGTGTAATAGCAGGCCTCATGTATCATGCAGTGTTTAAATACCTATGTGTGTGTGTGTGTTGTGTGAGTGTAATAGCAGGCCTCATGTATCGTGCAGTGTTTAAATACATATGTGTGTGTGTGTGTGTTGTGTGTGTTGTGTGAGTGTAATAGCAGGCCTCATGTATCGTGCAGTGTTTAAATACCTATGTGTGTGTGTGTGTTGTGTGAGTGTAATAGCAGGCCTCATGTATCGTGCAGTGTTTAAATACATATGTGTGTGTGTGTGTGAGTGTAATAGCAGGCCTCATGTATCGTGCAGTGTTTAAATACCTATGTGTGTGTGTATGTTGTGTGAGTGTAATAGCAGGCCTCATGTATCGTGCAGTGTTTAAATACCTATGTGTGTGTGTATGTTGTGTGAGTGTAATAGCAGGCCTCATGTATCGTGCAGTGTTTAAATACCTATGTGTGTGTGTATGTTGTGTGAGTGTAATAGCAGGCCTCATGTATAGTGCAGTGTTTAAATACCTATGTGTGTGTATGTTGTATGAGTGCAATAGCAGGCCTCATGTATCTCGTTATGACAAATGATACTCAAGTCACACAATTGCTCATATTCTACTGGAGGAATGTTTATAAACATCCTTAAAATCTGATAACAAAATATTTCCAAGACAATTAGTTCTATTCGTAGGTTGTCAAGCAGGAAATAGGCCCTTGTCCATTTCCTATACAACACTCAGAAGGTATTTTTTATGTAATTGTTGATTTCCTCAATGAAATTTGCTGCTGTTTCTCCAGCAACGTTCACTAGTACTAGTTTGTTTTAATGGATCGTTCACTAATCGTCTTGTGTTTTTATGGAGAAAGTATTCTTGCTGCTGAGTGCAAGCGTGTGCTGTGCAAGTAGATGCAATATTCTTGATGTGTGGTGAAACGGTGAGTGATTTTTTTGTGGATCTATGCTGATGTCAGCATTTTCATTGCTACCTAGAGTGCCTATGAAATCATTTCTCTTTGTTGGAAGGGACACAACTCACTGTATAATGGAGGGAGGAAGGAATCACTATGTTCAAATTTTGTTGTTTATAAGGAAGCTTGGTGTACTGGGGATCTATTCTGGGGTAGTGTGGATCCATATGTGGAGACAAGCATGGGTATTGTGGATCCATTCTGTCACAGAATCTCCATGTGGAGACAAACATTGGGTAGTGTGGATCCATTCTGTCACAGAATCTCTATGTGGAAACAAGCATGGGGTATTGTGGATCCATTCTGTCACAGAATCTCCATGTGGAGACAAGCATGAGGCATTGTGGATCCATTCTGTCACAGAATCTCCATGTGGAGACAAGCATGGGTATTGTGGATCCATTCTGTCACAGAATCTCTATGTGGAAACAAGCATGGGGTACTGTGGATCCATTCTGTCACAGAATCTCCATATGGAAACAAGCAAGGGGTATTGTGGATCCATTCTGTCACAGAATCTCTATGTGGAGACAAGCATATGATACTGTGGATCCATTCTGGGTCTCCAAGTGGAGACAAGCATGGGGTATTGTGGATCCATTCTGTCACAGAATCTCCATGTGGAGACAAGCATGGGGTATTGTGGATCCATTCTGTCACAGAATCTCTATGTGGAGACAAGCATGGGATACTGTGGATCCATTCTGGGTCTCCAAGTGGAGACAAGCATGGGGTAGTGTGGATCCATTCTGTCACAGAATCTCCATGTGGAGACAAGCATGGGGTATTGTGGATCCATTCTGTCACAGAATCTCTATGTGGAGACAAGCATGGGATAGTGTGGATCCATTCTGTCACAGAATCTCTATGTGGAGACAAGCATGAGGTATTGTGGATCCATTCTGTCACAGAATCTCCATGTGGAGACAAGCAAGGGTAGTGTGTGGATCCATTCTGTCACAGAATCTCTATGTGGAGACAAGCATTGGGTAGTGTGGATCCATTCTGTCACAGAATCTCCATGTGGAGACAAGCATGGGTATTGTGGATCCATTCTGTCACAGAATCTCCATGTGGAGACAAGCATGAGGTACTGTGGATCCATTCTGTCACAGAATCTCCATGTGGAGACAAGCATGAGGTATTGTGGATCCATTCTGTCACAGAATGTCCATGTGGAGACAAGCATGGGGTACTGTGGATCCATTCTGTCACAGAATCTCCATGTGGAGACAAGCATGGGGTAGTGTGGATCCATTCTGTCACAGAATCTCTATGTGGAGACAAGCATGGGTATTGTGGATCCATTCTGTCACAGAATCTCTATGTGGAGACAAGCATGGGATACTGTGGATCCATTCTGGGTCTCCAAGTGGAGACAAGCATGGGTAGTGTGGATCCATTCTGTCACAGAATCTCCATGTGGAGACAAGCATGGGGTATTGTGGATCCATTCTGTCACAGAATCTCTATGTGGAGACAAGCATGGGATAGTGTGGATCCATTCTGTCACAGAATCTCTATGTGGAGACAAGCATGTGGTATTGTGGATCCATTCTGTCACAGAATCTCCATGTGGAGACAAGCAAGGGGTAGTGTGGATCCATTCTGTCACAGAATCTCTATGTGGAGACAAGCATTGGGTAGTGTGGATCCATTCTGTCACAGAATCTCCATGTGGAGACAAGCATGGGTATTGTGGATCCATTCTGTCACAGAATCTCCATGTAGAGACAAGCATGAGGTACTGTGGATCCATTCTGTCACAGAATCTCTATGTGGAGACAAGCATGAGGCATTGTGGATCCATTCTGTCACAGAATCTCCATGTGGAGACAAGCATGGAGTACTGTGGATCCATTCTGTCACAGAATCTCCATGTGGAGACAAGCATGGGGTATTGTGGATCCATTCTGTCACAGAATCTCCATGTGGAGACAAGCATGGGTAGTGTGGATCCATTCTGTCACAGAATCTCTATGTGGAGACAAGCATGGGGTATTGTGGATCCATTCTGTCACAGAATCTCCATGTGGAGACAAGCATGGGTATTGTGGATCCATTCTGTCTCAGAATCTCTATGTGGAGACAAGCATGGGGTATTGTGGATCCATTCTGTCACAGAATCTCCATGTGGAGACAAGCATGGGGTACTGTGGATCCATTCTGTCACAGAATCTCCATGTGGAGACAAGCATGGGGTACTGTGGATCCATTCTGTCACAGAATCTTCATATGGAAACAAGCAAGGGGTATTGTGGATCCATTCTGGGTCTCCATGTGGAGAGTGTAGGAATTGCCATGGGGCATCATCATCATCATCATCATCATCATCATCATCATCATCATTATCATCACCTGATGGTGCTGGGTCAGCCTGCACCATAACCTGCCCCGATGGACTCAACCACTGGGGTCAAGGGCTCTTTAACATTAAGCAGTAATACTTCTTTCACACCGGCTCACTTCGCCTGAATAAGTTCAGCTATTACCAATATTTATTCCTTGTATTTTCAGGAGAAGAATAAGAAGCTATGGCACACTCCGTACTACGAGAATGAACTAAAACTGAAGCAGCTGTACATAAAGATTTGTAAGAAGCTGCCAAGTTATGGATGCAAAATCTTTCAGGTGAAGGAAATACTCAGAGGAAACACACAGAAAAAGGTAAATTTAGACATTAAACGCATCAAGGTAGATAACTCTTCTGATAAACACTGACTCCCAGAATAAGATCTCTATCAGCTTTCTTTATACATTTTATTTTTCAAAGAAACTTTTCAAAAATATAATCTGTATCCCTGAATGGGTAAATACCGTGATCGTTGCAAAGAAGGACTTACAAATTAATCCACTTTCATTTTTATTGAAATGTGTATAATTATCCCTTATGTCAAGGAACCTTGGTGTTGGTAACATTCAATCATTGTGTTGCAGATACCCAGGTTATTAGGCATTGCCAGTGAGAAGATAGTGTTACTGGACAATAAAACCAAACTCCTAAGCCAAATCACAAAACATTAAGTAACTTGGAGGATTGGCTGTCTGGCACACAGGAAAGCCCATGATGGCCTGGTCTTGGAGTTTAGGTGGGTCAAAACCATGGACGCTTGTGATGCCCACACTAGACAATCTTAAGTCAGTAACAGCAGCCATTTGGCAGGCGCTAGATATGGATGGACGATTCCTTAATAATGGCACGCTCAGGAGGGATAGTTTCGAGTTCGGTAAGAATATATACATGTATTTTCAAATGAGAATGTCTGTCCAAGAAATTTTGTTTAAGCATGATGGATGATTTTAACAAACACCAAGTCAAATTCAAATTGATCTCTTTTATTCTGCTAAAAATATATGATTAGATAAATATTTGCTGGAATTATGATGATAATTTGAAGGTTATGTTTGAAATTCAACTTGAAGCAGTGACTGTCTATGCTTTAAGTAGGAATTGGCATATCAGTGTAAGCTTCGTATCCACATTTTGTAACTACAGTATTACATTGCATAATTCGACCGCCCCCGTGGTGTAGTGGTTAGAGCGTCCGCCCGGAGAGAGGAAGGTCGTGGGTTCGATCCCCGACCGCGTCATACCAAAAGACGTTAAAATATGGTACTTGTTGGTCCCTGCCTGGCACTCGGCATTAATGGGTACAGCAAGGACTGGTCGGCTCGGAGTCAGTATAATGTGTCTGAGTAGGGTATTCATGCTTCACTGCGGCATGGTATCTCAGTGGGCTAGCACTATAAAACCAGCTTCAGTCTGGGCTAGTACAAGCAGCCGCACATACACATACACACACATGCACATCGTCATTTGAGCGAAATATTCTCAAGTACAACGTAAAACTCCAATTTCACCTCACCTCACCTCACATTGCATAATTCAGAATGGATTGGTGGATATATTTCATTTCTTACATTTTTGTGTAGTATCAAGTTCCCATGGTTCAAGGGGAAAATGATGAAGGTTGTAGAAGCTATTGATTACCCAGCATCATAATGAATGGTGTTATAGGAAGGACGAGTATATTAATTTTGGTGTAACATGAGGTGTCAAACTATTTTACATCTGTTGTATTTCACAACCGACATTGATTAACTGTCATTTTGTGTTCATTATGAAACTACTGAAGTACTCACTCTCAAATATTCTCACTGATGTATCTCTGAAAATATTCTTTGCAACATATGTGGCATTGTGTGGTCATGTGGGTAGAGCTCAGGTCACATTAAGGTGAAGTTAACTAACATTGGGTACGGAGAGTCCATGGCGACCGTGTTTGGCAGCTTGACTCCTGAGAGTTTCTAGGACTTCAGTCATGCCCCACAACGAAGCACATGTGATATATGTGGTCTCACCTTACGGAAGTGAGTTTGTTCAAAATTGCCTCTGTCCACCCTGCAGTAAATTGGTATGCCTGCATACCTGGTATGATACGATGGTAGTCTGAATTTGAACCTTGAGCACCTGACAGGCGACCGGTTGTATTCTCCATCTGTACTCGTTGACCAGGGGTGATATGTCAGCGCTTTGAGCATGCAATGTGCATGGATAAATGTGCAAGATAAATGGACTATCCTTATTATCCCCCGGCGCGCGTTTAGCGCGAAGCGGGAGATATAGTATTAGGGTTCTCCGTCGATGCGACGCGTGCTGGTGGAATATCTTAAGAACCGTTGACTGGATTCTTTTCATATTTGGTACCTAGATTCATCACAGTAAAAGGAAGGTGCCAGTCAGGTTTGGTAACCTTGACCTTCATTTCAAGGTCACAAGGGGACTTTAACGTTTTACCTGCACGTTAAGCTATCTCAAGAACCATTTACTGGATTTTCTTCATATTCAGTACCAAGCTTTATCTAGGGAAGGCGCAGGGCCCAGTCAATTTTGGTTACCTTCACATAATTTTCAAGGTCATGGCGACACTTTGAAAATTTCAGCATGTAAACCTGCATGTTAAGCTACCTCAAGAACCGTTCACTGGATTTTCTTCATATTTAACACCAAGTCTCATCTAGGGAAGGCGCAGGGCCAATTCAATTTTGTGACCTTCACATAATTTTCAAGGTCACAGAGATACTTTGAAGATTTCAGCATATTAACCTACATGTTATGCTTGTCAGCGCGATACCTCAAGAGCCATTCACTGGAGTTTCTTCTTATTTGACACCAAGCTTCATCCAGGGAAGGCGCAGGGCCCAGTCGATTTGGGTGACCTTCACTTAATTTTCAAGGTCACAGAGACACTTCGAAGATTTCAGCATGTTAAATCGCATGTTAAGATAGTCATCAAGATATCGCAAAAAATATTCTGTGGATTTTCTTCATATTTGTCACCAAGCTTCATCTAGGGAAGGGCAAAAGCCCAGTCAATTCTGGTGACCTTCACATAATTTTTAGGGTCACGATGACACTTTGAAGATTTCAGCATGTTAACCTGAATTGTCAGCAAGATATCTTAAGAACGGTTCACTGGATTTTCTTCATAGACTGTCAAGACCTCCCTTGAATGTTTTTCAATAAGCAATTTCTTTAGTACTAGTTTTGCATATTTCATACACTATGACATTCATGTCAAAGGTCAAAGTCAGTGTTGAAAATATGTGTGTGTTTGAACAACTAAACAGCAAGATATCAAGAGAGGTTGACTGGTCATGTTTTTGTTGACATTTAACTTCATCTTAAACTTTCATTGCTTTATAAGTTTGATTTGATAATTTTCGGCGGGGGATTATGTCACCTTAGTGACAATGCTTGTTATATAATATTATATTTCAATATTGATATTCTTTTCTTTACAGATTTCCACCGACGACAGCTGTCGATGCAGACGGAGATGAGGAGTGGGACACAGTACGCCACAGAGCTGGAGCAGCTTCAGAAGATGCTTCACTTCCCCGAGGAAGTCGCCATGATGCTGACAGACTCCGAACACAGCCTCTTCACCAGCATTCCTTCCGCGCAGTATGTGCGACAGGTCTCAATTGACCTCTCAAGGTCACCCACTCACAGGAAGCACCCATGCGTGGAAGATCTTATACAGAGGTTTAATGAGGTACACAGAATTTGTTTATCAATGTTATGCTTATGTTAAAAGTTAAATGCCAGTGCACAAACAGCTAATGTGTTGTACAAAATTAATGATCTCAGAGCAGAACAAAAACACTCTGATAGTGACAGATTATCACTCTCATTAAGATCCGATCAAGTCCAGTATAATACCTCTCTGCTTGCTTGAAGACCAAAAGACACCTCCTTCAATTCAAAGTGGTCAAAATATGATTCCTGCCCAATATCGTTATTTAAATAAATCATATTGGAAATATGTTTTTTAAGCTGAAGTATAGATAGTCATATATGATGTGACAATGACAAGGCAAGCATGAGTCTTAAGAAATAAAGTAAGAATTCAGACAAGAGTTCTATGAGGAAAATGTTTCTGCACCAAGGGGAACAACTCTTGATGACCAGTCTCTACAGACAGTCAAATTCAGGCTCTGTTTCTTGTATATAAATGTGTTTGTCATGTTATAAAGAAGTTGTTGTCAATGTTGTAGGTGACGACGTGGATCACCCAGATCATCATCACACAGGCCACCCATGAGGACAGGAAGGCTGTGTTGTCTTGTATCCTGAGACTGGCTGTCTACTGCTTCGTCCTCGGCAACTTCAACTCCGCAGTCGAGATACTGGCAGGACTCAGGTGACTATCTCTAGCAGCATAGCAATCAAAATACAGATTCTAGGAAGAGCAGGGAATCGTTTGTGCCAGTAGATTAACATAGACGGGCTACATGAATGTGGGGTTATAGGATAGCCTAGAAAATTTTGCTCATCACACAGAAGACCCAGTGCACCAGGCTAAACCTTCCCTGGGGCAGTTCTACTCTCGGAATTCCAGACTTGCTTCATAAGCAGGTCACAAATTTTGAGGATACCTTGCGTCAATTTATAACCCCCCAAAAAATTATTTTAGTATAACATGAGTGGCTTTCTGTTCTGGAGAATTACAACAGAAAAGTACCACTGCACCTTTTTATTCCTTTCTTACATTTTGACAGTGTGGGGAAGGAGTAGTCTAAATGGAAGCAGAAGATCTTCTGTTTACTGAACCTTTTGAGCCTAAATTCAGAGTGAATAGTCTGGTCGGGCTGTTACCTCCTTGGGAAAAACTGGCCAGGGGAATATAAGGCTTGGTACACCAGATTTCAGTTCCAATGATGATGAAATTCCTAAAACATTTCTAAAGGCAGCTCATACAATATTCACTCACTCTCTGAAGGGAATAGTTCCTGTAGCATTTTGCATTTTGTACCTGTCCCACTTCTGCATGTACAACTTTCAAATATACTAGTAATTACACTCTTCCTACTGACTACTGTCGCTGGTAAAATGGAAGCACACCACTCATTGACTTATTTATTTTCCAGATCTGAGAAGTTGAAACCTTTCTGGTTGTCAATATCAGAAGAGAATCTGTCCACCTTAAGCTCCTTGACTGAGGTCCTGCTCACAAGAGATCCTTCTCCAGAATACAGGGAGGCCGTCAGTAGAGCCTTAGATATCCAAGAATGCAAAGTGGTTCCGTTTTTCGGTGGATTCTTACGTGATCTCAAGGCAATATTTGCCGGCGTTCCAAGTCTAATTGTGCTTCCATCGGAAGAAAATCAAAACTTAGAGGTATGCTTTCAAAGACAAGGTTTCATTACACTGAAGCACATGTTACATTGTGTCTCCTTATGCCAGAGACTTTGCTTACTTTTAAACATGTCAGTATTAATAGGTACCTGATAGGAGGAGCTGTTCATGTGACAGTTCCAACAATTCAAGACTTCCCTATAATAAATCCTGTCCTCAATTTATGTTAAAATTTATAAATATGATTTTTGTAAAATTAAAACCCTGTCATTGGACCTTGTTGCAATATATCGTTACATTGTCATCAAAATCACATGGAAAAATTAACACATAAATACAGGCTATGGTTTCTCTGGTAACAAAACTGCAAAAATACAAAGGTGAAAACAAAATCAGTCGTTATGAAAGCTGGTTGTTGGGTGGACGCCATCATGTGAAGCATCCATAAAATCTGTAACTACCACGGGGAAAACTCTGATTATGTCTGCATCATTAAGTCCATCCCACTGTCCAGACGTCAAACATGTCATGCTTAAGAAGTTGATAGGTGATATTGTTGGTACCAAGTTTTTTGTGTGCTCTGCATAAAAGAGATAAGCAGAGGACTGGTTGGCATGGAGACAGAATACTGGCATCACTTTCGGCTGACAATATATAACCTGCATCAGGGACCGATCATAATTTATGGCCAGGGATGGTGATGATGATTTTTATGGAGAAGCATGTACAAAGTAAGTGACCCCCACTGCATGTCATGTACAAAATCAATGACCCCCTCCCTTCCAATATTTTTTAAGAATAATTTTAAAATATTTTCATGTACAAAATGGCTGGACACACACACACCACCACCACCCCCACCACCCCCACCCACCCCCGAAACGCAGGTACAAAATTGATGATCCCTCCTACCTCTCCAGAACAAAATGGGTGACCCCTCTTAAAATCATCATCACCCCCCGAGCCATATATTATGAACGGTCCCTTAGTTTATACTAGCACAAGCAGCTACACACACATGTGTCCTTGTATTTGCATGCATTTCATTTAATATGCAATAACTTTAGACGCAACATTACATCCCGTTTTAAGTCACTTCACCTCATGACCATGTTTCTCCCTCAGTTTGTGTCCGACTACAATGGGGAGGACCGCTTCATGACACGAATCGGCGTGGGTGGCCTTATCAACATGGACAAGCTGAAACAAGCTCACATCGTCCTGAACGACATCCTCCTGTTCCACCACCATGCAGACCACCAGAGGGCGCTCATACAGAAACTGGAAGATATGGAACAAGATGAGAACAGGTAGGGCACAAACTGACCAATTTCAGTTTTGTTTCAGCTGAGAAATAGTTCATCTCATTGACTGCGCACAACACTAACCACACCCTCACTCATTCACTGACCAGTGATTTATCGTCCATTTCAAACATAAAACCCTTAACAGGGAAATTAGGGAAAATGTTATTTTGTTACAAAATTAGGATTAGGAAATTTCTTATTTCTTTAGTACAAAGGATTTAACTTTTATTTATTTCAGTGAGATGATGTTGAATTAAACAATATTGCTACATTGTGTATACTTATCCTCGTGTTAGTGAAACAACCCATCATTACACATGACTATATTAAGACTCATTGGGAAAGTTGTTTTCCTTGGTAGATTTTAACTGAATGTATATCCATCAGGTTTCCACATGAATGTACTCTGGATACAAGGCAATATATTGTTACTAGATTTTTTTCGCAGCATCTTGTACCATTTTAGTATTGTCTCATGCCATAAATATTAGAATGGACCTGTTGATCAAGGCACATAGTGCTAGATTCAGTTTCTATTAGTGAGATGTAGCACTGTTATTCAACTGTCTACTAGGAAAGTTAAAAACAAGAAAGGAGTGAGTGAGTGAGTATGTTTTACACCACCGCAATATTCCAGCAATATCACGCGGGAGACACCAGAAATGGGCTTCACATATTGAACCCATATAGAGAAACAAACCCGGGTGTTTGGTGTGACGAGTGAACGCTTTAACCACTAGGCTACCCCAATGCCCCAAGGTAAAAAAAAGGTAATTTGCTGCCAAAATGACAAGATGGTTTTGAATGGCTGATTTAAGATATCAGGAATGTAGTGATTGCCGTGCTTATTATGATCATTTGTTTCTAGTTCTGAAAGTTACATAAACCTTTTTGAATGACATAGATTGAAGTTCAAAACCTTGTTGAAATGTAAACATCTTTCTTCATGCCAATAGACCTTATTCCCCCCTAGTCTGTGAAAATGATACTTATTTTAACTTTACTCAGACTTCTGAAATCCTGTTCATTTTGAGTGAGTGAGTTGGGTTTTACACCACTTTTAGCAATATTCCAGCAATATCGCGGCGATGGACACCAGAAATGGGCTTCACACAATGTACCCATGCGGGGAATCGAACCCGGGTCTTCGGCGTGACAAGCGAACGCTTTAACCGCTAGGCTACCCCACCGTCCCTGTTCATTTTTAACCCTGATTACAGTCATATGTAATAAAATGTCTTATTATTCACACTTTTAACAACATATGGAACCGTAGATCAGGGTTTTACATAATGCACATATGTGTGTCCAGTATGTGTAAATGCAGAGAATGGATGCAGAAAAACCAAACTACCACATCCGGAGAGACACACAAAAATACTGAAAGCGTACCTACCGTGTATCAAGAGTAATCTGTGACTGTTATTTCTCTCATCAGTCATGACCACTATCCACACGATCACTGATTCATTCCTGGCTCTGAAGTAATGATCTGAATGTACCCTACAATAAACCATTACAGTGCTTTACAGGACCCTCACATTACCAACAAGGACCCGTAAACGACTCATTTTATATCCCCTCGGCCGCTTAGCTGCCGGGGATATAGTATTAGGTTCGGCCCGCGACGCATTTAATTGGAATATCTTAAGAACCGTTGTCTAGATTCTTTTCATACTTGGTACCTAGGTTCATCACAGTATAAGAAAGGTCCAAGTCAGGTTTGGTGACCTTGACCAATGTGACACATCACAGAAATGGGCTACACAATGTACCCATCGGAAGTCGAACCGGGTCTAGCCGGTGACTGGCAGCTTAACTTTAAGCAAGTCCCTGTTCATTTTAACCCTGCATGTTAAGCTATCTCAAGAACCATTCACTGGATTTCTTCATATTCAATACAAAGCTTTATCTAGGGAAGGCGCAGGGCCCAGTCGATTTTGGTGACCTTCACATAATTTTCAAGGTCATGGCGACACTTTGAAGATTTCAGCATGTGAACCTGAATTGTCAGCAAGATATTTCAAGAACGGTTCCCTGGATTTTCTTCAGACTTTCATGACTTCCCTTAAATGTTTTTCAATAAGCAATTTCTTTAGTACTATTTTTGCATATTTCATACACTATGACATTCATGTCACGGTCAAAGTCAGTGTTGAAAATATGTGTGTGTTTGAACACCTAAAGAGCAAGATATCAAGAGAGGTTGACTGGTCATGTTTTTGTTGACATTTAACTTAAACTTTCATTACTTTATAAGTTTGATTTGATAATTTGCGGCGGGGGATTATGTCACCTTAGTGACAATGCTTGTTGTAAGTCAAGGTGAAACCCTGATAAATGATGAACATATGGATGACATTATTTTGTACCAGAGAAGCAACTGCCATACTTATTCCATATTCCATCATCCTTCATGTAAGGTGACATACTGAACTATGCTCTTAGCTCTATTTGTAGTCGTCCAGTCACTGAACCACATTATTTTCACTGAGACCTTTCTGCAATGCAAAGGCAAATGAAGCTAGTCTAGATATTGCTTACGTTCAGGCTGAATCTCCCATCTGACAGGGGCTCCTTTTCAATTTAAATTGACTTTGATGATTTTTATCAAAACTACATATTCAGAGACTACATTATTTGGCCTTCATCAGAAAGCCCATAAGCAATGTAACAGGGGCATTCAGTCTTTATATATATAGTTGTTCCTTGGCTTCATCTTTGTTCGGGGTGGTGGGGTAGCCTAATGGTTAAAGCGTTGGCTCGTCACGCCGAAGACCCGGGTTCGAATCCCCACATGGGCACAATGTGTGAAGCCCATTTCTGGTGTACCCTTGCATTGCGATGTTGCTGGAATATTGCTAAAGCTCAGTCAGTCAGTCATCTTTGTTCTTCTAACAGTGGGGGCGATTGGGGTAGCCAAACTCAGTCAGTCAGTCATCTTTGTTCTTCTGAACAGTAGGGCGTGATATTGTTGAGTATTGGTAGCCTAGTGGTTAAAGCATTCTTCCTACTCACCAGCACTGAAGACTAGGGTTTAAAGCCTCTTTATTCTCACATATAATTGCCTGTTGTGTAATACTGCATTACTCAGCTATATGAGTGAGTGAGTGAGTGAGTGAGTTTAGTTTTACGCGCGCCTCAGCAATATTCAAGCTATATGGCGGCGGTCTGTAAATAATCGAGTCTGGACCAGACAATCCAGGGATCAACAGCATGAGCATCGATCTGCGCAATTGGGAACCGATGACATGTGTCAACCAAGTCAGCGAAACTGACCACCCGATCCCGTTAGTCGCCTCTTACGACAAGATAGTCGCCTCTTTTATGGCAAGCACATGGGTTGCTGAAGACCTATTCTACCCCGGATCTTCACGGGTCACTCAGCTATATGACAGCGGTCTGTATACAATTAGACATCAACCAGACAATCAAGCGATTGACATCGTGAGCATAGGTCTACAGATTGACAATCCAGTCTGAACACTAGATGCTGTTCTTTGCCTCTTAAGACAAGCATGGGTTACTGAAGTCCAATTCTAATCCAAATCTTCATTTCTACTCAGATAATGTATGTTACACATTTTCTAAAAAATACAAAATATAAAAATGCAAACATATGACCTGTAACTTCAATTCTGTGATGAGTTGACCCACAACTGGTCAGCTCCAGTGCCCTCTCTTCCTGACAGAAGCTGTATCAAGGAGGTTAACCCTAAGCCTGCCAATATTTTAAAATAGCCTCTCACATGCATTGTCATTGAGGAGTCCACATTGGTATCCAGGGCTCAAGAGTTAACAGCACAGCAACTGACAACCACAGACTGTTAATCTGTGCGGAAGCCCTTCATGCTCGGATTTATTGTTTAGAATATTATTAATAGCTGACATTGACAGATTGGTGAATCAAAGATATGGGTTTTTTTTGCAAATATTGGCAAAATCAAAATTCTATTGTGTTGTTCTGCATTGACTGCTGGTGAGATTAATGTGTTGGATGCTACTCAATGCTGTATCACGCCTTACTTATACTGACAAACCACACATAAAACATGGCACCAACCCATAAAAACACGTCATGTGCATCAATTTGAAAACAGATCATGCCAGTGTTTATCCTGTTGACAACGGGCCCGAAATAATCAGTGCATGATGCTATAAATATGTTTAAAGCCTCATTTTCAATCAATACCATCAAAAGTCAGGAATCAGGAAAACTGGAATCAAACGTTATAATGTGTCACAAAGTACAGATGTTGCTTTATTACAAAAGGAGATGTACGTTTTGTGATTCTGGAACTTTTTCATCAGTTGTGTAATTTTTGTTGCAAACATATCAGCAAATGGTACTTATGGTATTGGTATATGTGTACTATAGAGAATATCAAAACAAATGTATGTGCCAGGCAAGATAAGGGCAGTATTTGGAAATTTCAAATGTTTGAGGGACCAGTTATTTGTTAAGGGAATCAAGAGAGGTTCACCAAAATATATGACTGTCTCCTGGGAAGGGTTAAAATAATTATATGTATATTTGATACATATATTAAAAAAACTGACATAATACCTCTGTGATAAGTGACTGGTCCTCAAAGTGTGGAAATTTTGAAATAGTCGAATTAAACTTATCAGACATGTTGAAATGGTTGATAGTAAGCATTTTTGTATTCTTAAATTTGTAGGTTTCAGATGTATAAGTAAATACTTATTTACAACTAAAAATAATTTACATACTTATTTCTAAACCTTGGAGCTCATCGATCAAGTTTGAGCAGGTGCATGATGGGAAATGAATCTGTTGCCTTAGTATGTTTGTCAAGGTTGTATCTTCATGAGAAGATCAGTTTGGGTCAAACACTGTTCAGATATTACAACAATGTTGAACCCTCTAAAATCAGACTTTTTGATACATTTTATCCTTATCTAAACACTTTGTATTTTGTGCCAGATGTACATTAAGTGACCTTCCCAAATCAAGGACCAAGTAGGACTCATATATAATTTGTCATTTCTGAATTCATAAATGTTTAGTATGCTTCCAATAGGGGACACCAAACAGTTCTTTGAGTAGATGTTTTAGAAGTTGGGAAGTACAATATTGAACAAACTCTATGGATAACAACTTCATTTATTTCGTGAGTGCGACATTTCGATACAGATTCTAGCCTCTCGATGTGATTCCTGCTTGACAACAGTACAAGAATCTGTATCGAAACATCGCACTCACAAAAACAAGAAGTAGTTATCCATAAAATTTGTTTAATATGCCACCAAAAAGGGACACTGTCCACACACATACACCAACACTGGATCTGCATTGGTCTCATTATTCTTCATCCCTATTGAGCATCAAGTACGATTTTGGAACAGATGCATCAACATTAATGCATTCTGATTTGTTTTCTCAGATATTAGAATGGGGAGACAAACAGGTCAATCAAGCAATTGGCTAGAATTATCTCATTGGCTGGGATCAGATTGATCTGCCCTTTGCAATTTACTCCTACTTTCGGCTCCGGACTTCACTTGACCTTGACAATTTTGTATGACCTCTTGACCAGTGAGAGGAGGATCATTGCTGTGTATTTAAAGACGGGTCATGGAGGTCCATCTGTGATGGAGTGATGGAGTCGCCATTTTGGACAAGGGAGATAACTGGGTTCCAGGAGGAGATGTCCAGTTCATCTGTTTGACATCATCATCTGACATTACCTGTTTGTGGTTGGAAGACTGTATAAACAACCAAACTTGAGGCGTTACTTTGAGCTCCAAGTTGTGTTACAAAGCCATATCTTTTTGTTTTGGTTGTATATTTTTTATTTATTTGTGGTATAGTTTGTGAGTAAATAAGAAAATGGCATCTTTATGGATCTCCATTCTGGTCATTGAATTTAGCAAAAATAATTAGTGAGATTATAAGATCATTATCCATTTTAGCTTTACTGCGGTATAAAAGTTTACATCATAAGGTCACAAAATGCCCCAATTAAGTTGTTGGCTTTAAAGTTGTATGTTTTCATGTAGTACTCATACGCTTTGAATATGTGGAGATCCCAGTTCATCTGAACAAGGCATCTAAATAATGCTATGAAAGTTATAGTTGTATCCTTTAACAGAGGGGATTTTTTTCTCCCATGTCAGTAGAAGCATTCTATATTTGTCCTGAATGACACAACTCTCTATCTCTCTGTCTCTCCCTCCTCCCTCCCTCCTCCAAATCTGAAGAACTCTCTCTCTCTCTCTCTCTCTCTCTCTCTCTCTCTCTCTCTCTCTCTCTCTCTCTCTCTCTCTCTCTCTCTCTCTCTCTCTCTCTCTCTCTCTCTCTCTCTCTCTCTCTCATCTCTCTCTCTCTCTCTCTCTCTCTCTCTCTCTCTCTCTCTCTCTCTCTCTCAAACATGAATAATTATTTGAGGCTTTCCTCAAGTTAAACTAGCACACATGATAAGAAGACTCTTGCTTCTAAAAAGTCAGGTAAGGCTTGGAAGCCAATCTTTTTTCCTTCCCACAAGAGAATACTTATTAAAAAGCAATTTGTGTGGATAACATCTTCTTTATTGATATTTTCTCTGCAAATTGCTCTATTATCTTATTATGATCCAGTTTCTGGCATATATATGTGTGACTTGCTGGGATCTCTCAGCCTACAAACTGATATTAGGTAATGTCTTTGTGGAGAAGACTTCTGTTGATAACAGGGCCATTAAGAGGAAGAAACTTTCATACTTAGTTTCACATTATTGCAGTAAATGTAATGTTAGAATACAAAGTTAAAATTTCTTTGAATTAAAATAACAGAATTTGATAAAATCCCTATTTTCAATGAAACATCTGCTTTCATATTTGCCAAACCCCTGAATTTGAAATATGAGAACATTTGAAAAACATGAATTGTGAACAAAATAACGTTTTTTACCAGTTTGCTTTCCAAGGTCAGTTATATTGGAATCATTGATTGATCACCAGGTCATACCGCCAATCAATGACATGTGTCAAAGTGACCTGCTGTCTCTCTATACTCTGGCAGTGGGGAGTCAAAACACCCCCTGGTCACACGGAAAACCCTCAGTTCAATTCCTCACATGGGTACAGGGTGTGAAGGGTATAATTCCCTCACATACACAGAGATATTGTCTGTTGCTGCTCTCCTTTAGTTGGTTGGTTGGTTTGTTAGTTTACACCGCATTCATCAATATTCAGCTTTATGCCGTTTTGTTTTCCTGGCAAGTGTTATGTAGCAGCGATGGAAGCAGATGGTTGTAAACCACTTCCTGTCTTAAATAAAGAGTTCTCTTATGGTCTGTAAATAATCGAGACTGGACCAGACAATCCAGTGATCAACATCATGAGCATCAATCTATGCAATTGGGATACAATGACAAGTGTCAACCAAGACCACGAGCCTGACCACCCAATCCCGTTAGTCACCTCTTATGACAAGCATGGGTTACTGAAGATCAATTCTAACCCAGATGTTCATGGGGATGTTCTTAAAAAACCTGCACATGTATTTTTGAGTTAGAGACATGCAATCTACCCAGTGGCAAGTACCAGACATGTTACCTATAGCTCCTCTTTGAAAATAACAGACATTTTATGGAAGAAGGTTCCCCTTTAAATGTAGTAGATATGCTATCAAACACCATTCCTCCTTAAAGTAACATTTGTGTTATGTAAAACGATTCCCCTTTAAAGGTGACAGACATGTTAAATGTTAGTTCCCCTTTAATAGTGAGAGACATGTTGTATGTTACAGTTCATGTTTAGAAGTAACAGTTCTGTTATCCAATACAATTCCCCTTTAAAAGTAACAAACATGTTGTATGTTACAGGTCATGTTTAGAAATTGTATACAATTCCCCTTTTAAATATAACAAACATATTTATCCCTCATGGGAACTGTTAGAGGACAACTGAACTGCAGCGTGTACTGATTTTAGTCGTGTAATACAATTATCCCAGATCCCTACCCAGCATTTGATATATCCCTAGATGGCCGACATTTAAGCTCAATCAGACCAGTAAGTAGAATAACCAGACCAGGCTTTGGTGCGATTGAGCAGATTTTCCGTCTCCAACTGACCAATGAGTTGTGATTATCAGCCTCTAACTGACCAATGAGCTGTAGGTCAGCTGACATGCAACTCATCCAGGTAATGGGCACACCCTCGTTATAGAAACTGTTAAATCTCTGTTTGTCTGATGCTTTGGTCAATATTTTGTTGCTAGGCATTGCTAGAAACTGAGGCTGATCACCTGTCCAGCTGTCTGGTGATGAGACAAGCGTCACACCATCTCCGTAATTGTGACATATGGCTGCTAGATTTTTAATACATGATGCATCTTGCAGCTGAAAAGAAGTTAAGGATAACCCAGATCTACTATCAGTCATCTCATCCAAAATGCATGTGGATTATCAGCTGGACAATAAAAGCACCAATCAAAGATGGTGTAATGCATTATTACTGATCTACAAAATACTTGTAACAGTTATATTTGGGATTACACTTTTTTCAGTAAAGTACAGATTCTAGTACTTTTGTTGTGTTGAGTCCCGTCCTTGATTTGAACCCACACCCTCAGAGTCAGGCACCTAATAGTCAGTACACAAAGTCACCAACTCAGAAAAACACGACTTCCACAAAAGCGGAAGTCGGACAACTGATAGTCTTGACCACAGACCTTGTGTACCCCTCTGATTAGTGTAAATTGGCACGGCTCCGACGGTCTGTGGTGTAGACTACCAGTTGTCTGAATTCCACTTTTGTGGAAGCCGCGGTGGCTAAGTTGGTTAGGGCTGATTTTGTATGCTGGCGATTAGGTGCTTGACTCTGAGGGAGGGCCGGTGGGGTAGCCTAATGGTTAAAGTGTCGGCTCGTCCGTGACGCTGACGACCCGGGTTCGAATCCCCACTTGGGCACAATGTGTGAAGCCCATTTATGGTGTCCCCCACCGTGATATTGTTGGAATATTGCTACTCACTCACTAAGTCTGAGGGTTCGGATCTCAGATGGGGCTAACTACTAGAAGCATTTGTTACATTTGACCACTTTCTACCTGGCATTGTGTATTCATACAAAATACTTAATATGGCATAAATTGGTTTCCATGTTTTGTATCCTGCTACAGCAGTGTATAACTTGGAACACACACATGCACATGAACATGTGCATGCATGCACACACAATCACACACACATGGGCTACATGGCCACTGGATCTCATTTGGAAAGAGGACAATATCCAAATGCTTTCCATCTCCATCTCAGGTTTGAAATTGTTTTGTTTGTTGTTTAATGCCATACTCAGCAATATTCCAGCTATATGGCGGCGGTCTGTAAATAATCAAGTCTGCATCAGACAATCCAGTGATCAACATCATGAGCATCAATCTACACAATCGGGATACGATGACATGTGTCAACTAAGTCAGTACGCCTGACCACCCGATCCCGTTAGTCGCCTCTTATGACAAGCATGGGTTCCTGAAGACCAATTCTAACCTGGATCATCATGGATATTAGAATTGTGATGTAATTTTGTAAATGATATTCTTGAGTGTAAGATGAGTCTTATTGCTGGCTTATCCCTCAGAGAATATCCCTCTGTTTGGCAGTATTTCAATCAGGAAAAGCCAACGAGTTATAAAGTCCTATCACAAGTTGTCTCAGAGTCACATTTTGTAACTCTTCATGTTGCATACTGTGTCCTTGTCTTTTCTGTTGGTGCTCTGTTCAGATTTCTTAATCTTGTTCCTGTAATCTTGATGAATCAGTAATTCCCTGTTCCCATTTCTATTTGTTGGTTGGACATGTAAGAGCCTTGGCTGTATAACTTGAAAATTATCTTGAATGTGTCTCATAAGATCCTCCATTTTTTCTTTTACAGGAACCATGTGCGATCTGAAGATGATGACAGTGATAGTGACTATGACCTTGACCTTGACAGCTACCAACCTATTCGACCTCTGTACAGTGACCATGAGGTCATGATCATCACCCCCAAGGTGGCATGTCTGAACCATCATTGGCTACAGTGCATGAACCATGGGACAACAATGGTGAGATGGGAGGAGGACGGTGGTCGCTCGTGCATGTGCTACCTCCGACTCGAGATTGACAATGCCACATTAACCTGGCGGAAACCATCATGGAGTGCGCTACGTGCTGGCAACACCACGCCAGATTATGTGTTGAAGGGTGAAGTGGAGAGCAATGGGTCGCAAATCCTATGTGCTCGCCACACAACGGGCGAGGAAGTCTGTGATAACCTAGAGGAAGGCTATATTGATGTGACTGTCATCAAGGAAGTGTATTTCGACAATGAAACTGTTGATCTTGCTGCTGTGTCCAAGCGCCATGGGTTGGAGGATATTAGTCATGAGCACAACTGTATTACCATTCTGTATGGAACCTACCTGTCAGAGAACCGCAAGTTGTGGTTCATTGCGCCTGCACATACTGCCAAGATCTGGTACCATGGTCTCAAGTGTCTGGTACGGGCATCCCACAAACTACAGTACCAGACAGACAAGAAGCTGCAGTGGTTGAAACAGCAGTACCTGCAGTTGTACTATGACTCTGAGAAGTGTCAGGGACCAACACCTGCTGAAGCCATCAAGGTAGGTACCCACTGCTGATCTTTACATTGTAACATTCACACATCTAACATGGGGAAGTGTATTGTAGTGATTGCAAATTGGAGTGTCAAGAGCTGTAAAGGGCTGTGTCTTGTTGACAGTAAGAGATGACTTAATGGCCAAATTGTTCAGTGTTGGTATCATGTCTGGGTTGAAACCAACTAAAGTGGCCAGTATATGTACCTTGAGTCAATGGCCAGAACCTGCTGAAGAAGTCAGTGTTTGGGGCCTGAGTCAAGCGCTGAAACCTTCTGAAGAAGTCAGTGTTTGGGTCCTGAGTCAAGCGCTGAAACCTTCTGAAGAAGTCAGTGTTTGGGTCCTGAGTCAAGCACTGAAACCTTCTGATGTAGTCAGTGTTTGGGTCCTGAGTCACGTGCTGAAACTTTCTGTAGTAGTCAGTGTATGTGCTTTGAGTCAAGGGCCAAACCTTCTGAAATAGTCAGCGTTTGGGTCCTGAGTCACGTGCTGAAACTTTCTGTAGTAGTCAGTGTATGTGCTTTGAGTCAAGGGCCAAAATCTGCTGAAGTAGTCAGTGTTTGGGTCCTGAGTCACGTGCTGAAACTTTCTGTAGTAGTCAGTGTATGTGCTTTGAGTCAAGGGCCAAAACCTGCTGAAGTAGTCGATGTATCCTTTGAACATCATGCCCCCTACATGTGGAACTCTCTTCCCCAAGATCTGATAGGGGTGAAACGGTATACCGTGGTATCAGTAGAACCATGGTATTTTGCAATCCAAAAATTCGGTATTTTCGGTTTTCGTAACGTCAATTTCTTAACCTTTTTATACCTTTCCTAAAATGTCTAGAACTCAAATCGTTTTGTCAAAATCTATGCATTTCTTTGCCATATGTCAATTTTCTGCATTGTGCTCTTATCTCATATACCAAACAGAAACGAAGGTCTTGTATCGCAATACATACGGTATTATGGTAAGAGCGTACCGTTTCACCCCAAAGATCTGAAACTTTATCCAACGTTTGTGTCATTCAAATCAAGTCTCCTCTTTTCCGCCAGTTCTATGAACCATAATAACTTTTGTCATTATCCCTTCCTATGTACTATTAACTTTTGTGCCTTGAGCATGATGCAAGCGTGGAAATGAGCGTATTATAAATGTGCACTATTATTATTGCTATTATTATTAATGTACAGGTCTCTTATGACATCTGAAGACACACAATGTGTGTCAAAGGCCTAAACCAATCAAAGCCCACTTTTTGAACATGTGTCTCTGAAAAATGCTGTGTCTACCAGCCTAATGTGGCATCAGATTCAGACTATGGATGACTATAAGAAATATTGATTGCTGCAGGAAGTCAAGGTTGTACATCAATTCCAATAAGTTATTCATTCAGTTAAGAGACTGTGCTTTCTGACAACTGCATACAGTTAACATACAGCCTAATGGTACATTACCAGATTGCACTAACGCCACGTGTGACAATGAGAAATGTAATTTACGATTATTAGAAAACATAAGCTGATGGACGGGATAAGGAGAAAACAAATTTAAACAGATGATCGTGAAATTATGGATGGACATATACTGATTCTTGAACAAATAGATAGAAAGGATAAGAAACAATTTTCATTTTCCAATGCAGTATTCCACCCACAGTGTTGGCCAAAGTCCAGTGTATAAGAGTCACAACATCATATCCCCTCTGACAGAGATATATAATTATAGATGGCCATAGAACACATGGAACATGGAACTACCCAAGGGCTTCAAGAACAGCCATCAGCAATCAGATGAGTGCAGTTTGGCTGTGAAGAGGGTTCTTGTCTAATGTTATGATAAGTCTGCATTATAACTGATTCACACTCCCTGGGGTCAGGTTGGCCGATGGTAGTTGAGCTTTACATTGGAGTTGTTGTTCACAATAGAGCTAAATGTACGAATCTCCTAGTGTCACGGGAATGAGGAAATTGTTGTTTTTGTGGTGAAAGTTGCATCTGTAATTGTCTGTCGAGTGATATGTTATTGATCCAGACTGGGTTGATCTGGGTGCAGTGTAAGTTGTTATGGTGAATGTATGGTATGAAATTGGTTGACTTGAGTACTGCAGAAATCAGGGAAACGGCTAAATATTATTACTTTTCAGTAGGTATTGGATTAATGTGGCTCCATCTTGGTGGTGTAGTGCTTGATTACTAAATCCAAGACAACACAGAGTCTCTCTGTGCACAGGTCTCTAAGTACAAAGGGTTGGCATACAGGGCAGTGAAAACATGGACTCAAGAAGGAATGTGATATACAATCAGCAATAGTTACAGCTTTGCTACTCTTTGATCACAATTTATTCATGAGCAGGGTTCACAAAGTATGTGATCTATACTATTGTGGAAGCCAAGGTGGCTGTGTGGATTAGGAGTTTTGGTGCCTCATTCTGAGAGTGTGAGTTCGAATCCCAGAACCCCAAATATAAGAGTTGTTCAATTTATTATGATTTTCTAAATGGCGTATGTATTCATCGGTTATTTCCATTCCCTGGTTCCTTTGGATATTACAGTCTGAGCTAACCGTGACAAGGATAATGGTCATATTACCATCCTACCTGGTATCCATTCACTGCTGTATGAAAATCTATCAAAGAAAACTATGTGCTTAAGGAAGCATCACTGAATGTCATTGTATACCAGTTGCCTAGATGAATGCTCATGTTGTTGCTCCGTGGTGTAATGGTTAGAGCGTCCGCCCGGAGAGCGGAAGGTTGCGGGTTCGATCCCCGGCCGCGTCATACCAAAAGACGTTAAAAAATGGTACTTGTTGGTCCCAGCCTGGCGCTCGGCATTAATGGGTACAACAAGAGTGGTCAGCTCGGAGTCAGTATAATGTGTCTGAGTGGGGTATTCATGCTTCACTGCGGCATGGTATCTCAGTGGGCTAGCACTATAAAACCAGCTTCAGTCTGGGCTAGTACAAGCAGCCGCACATACACATACACACACATGCACGTGGTCATATGAGCGAAATATTCTCAAGCACAACGTTAAACCCAATTTCACCTTACCTCATGTTGTTGGTCTTGGTTGACACATGTCATTGTATCTCAGTTGCATAGATTGATGCTCATGTTGTTGATCACTGGATTGTCTGGTCCAGACTTGATTATTTACAGACCACCACCATATAGCTGGAATATTGCTGAGAAGAACGGTATAACACTACAACCAAACCAAACCAAACCACTGCATGTGCTACATGTGCATCAGGGGTCTGTTGGGTAGCCTAGTGGTTAAAGCAGTTGCTTGTCACGCCAAAGACCCGGGTTAGATTCCATACATGGGCACAATGTGTGAAGCCCATTTCTGGCGTCCCCTTCTGCGATGTTGCTGGAATATTGCTAAAAGCGGTGTGAAACTTAACTCACTCACTCATGTGCTTCAGTTTCGTGCAAGACCAATCCCTAGAAACTCAATAACCCATTCAACTAGTCTCTGTGACCAATGTTGCTTAACTTTGGTTTGTGACCTGTATCTTTCTACACTGAGGGCCAAGTGCCAGCACAATCATATTGCCTCAACACTATCGCATTAGATTACAAGTTACGGCTGTTTAAAGCTACATCAGCGAAGGTAATCCCGGTGAAGTTGGTCAAATATGAGAGTAAATAGCACAGCAGGCCATGTTATTTCAACCGATCCCAGAAAAAACTAATCTGACAGTTGTGTATTTAGTTTGCCCAATTTATCAGAAGTATTACAAGGCAACTGTGTACCCAGCTGAACGCCATACAGAACGCTGTACAAGAACAGCAGTATCCCCTTATCATTAAGGCTAACACCAGTTGCCACGTGTCACTGATAGTGTAGTATTTCAACACCACCATTTGGAAATCTGAAGCATGAAAGAATTAGTGTCTTGAAATTCACTGAATGAGGTTTTTTGTTGCATTATGCAGTATTATGTCAGAATTTGAGCAATACATAAGCAGTATCATAAAATGGATTCACAATCTTGTGTGGTAGGAGTGAGTGGTTTAATGCCGCTCTCAGCAGTATTCCAGTTATATCACAGTAAGTCTCCTTGATGTGACAGAAAAGTCCAATATGCTTACCACATTTATTAAACCAACAAACACAGGCATGGTGCTGACTAACCTAAAAACATATCTGGGTCCAACTTGATTTTCAATACTCAATCATAGGTTTCTGGTGTGGGGACCGCCTCCGTGGTGTAGTGGTTAGAGCGTCCGCCTGGAGAGCGGAAGGTCGCGGGTTCGATCCCTGACCACGTCATACCAAAAGACGTTAAAATATGGTGCTTGTTGGTCCCTGCCTGGCGCTCGGCATTAATGGGTACAACAAGGACTGGTCGGCTCGGAGTCAGTATAATGTGTCTGAGTTGGGTATTCATGCTTCACTGCGGCATGGTATCTCAGTGGGCTAGCACTATAAAACCAGCTTCAGTCTGGGCTTGTACAAGCAGCTGCACATACACATACACAGGCATGCACGTCGTCATATGAGCGAAATATTCTCAAGTGCGACGTAAAACCCAATTTCACCTCACCTCACCTTCTGATATGGGAAATGGAAACAACTCTGCACAGCAAATGATTGCACCATTAATGACTTGACCATCCCTGCCTCATCTTAAAGCTGAGCCAAAGAAAGCAAAGAATACAGTATGATGAGCAAATTCAAATGGTATACAGAATCTCACCCCAGTATTTTGATATCAGCTACATTAAGTTAATTGAAGTTTAATTTCAAATCCTTAGCCTTGCTGAGGAGTTTAAATTTATATAAATGAGTGTCTGAAACTATAATTATTTTTATGTATTAGTTTATATAAAGTAGAAATCAGTGTTTTCAGTATAAGAAGGCCAGCTAACCCTAATGACCTTTTGTGACAGAGATTAATGATGTCATTTGATTGTGATGGCATAGTAACCAATGATGTCACAATGTCCTACAGAACACTGTGATGCAGTTTCATATTACCCAAGTATCTTTGGAAGAAAGTTCAGGGGATAAATTTGGAATTAATCTACAGATTCCATACAGCTTAAGGACCAATCAGAAAGCAGGATTCTAAAATGGCCTGGTAGAATATAAATTATTGATGCTTGTATATTTTATTGCAAAATCCTAGAAGGTTGTGAAAAAGCTGTTTAGAAAACTGTCATTGCCTCAGGGGCCCAATTAAAGTAGAATGTGAAAAATATGGCACTTCGTGAACAGATCCATTTCACCGATTTACTTCTCTAAAGCATTCCATTGACTTAGAAATAACGTAGTGTTAAATCTGTGAAAACAAAAAATGCAGCAATTACAAACTTAATGGCGTCTTCCTATTGAAATGCTCGTGATCGAAGACAACCTCCCGAGTTTTAAGTTACAGCATATTGAAATAGACCCATATCAGGTGCACCGCGGTGTAAAAGAAACAAAACACCTACAACATTATTTCTGTTTGTCAGGCTTGTACGTGCTGCTGAAGTCTATCTATTTCGGGGAGGCCCCAGCTTGCTTCAGTTAGTGGTGAAGACTCAAAGAGATTTAGGACTTTGTATTAGGGGAAATTACTGTGACTCTCCCATTCATCTCTCAAGGACATGAGAAGCAAAACTAATTAAGTGTATACTTGCAGCTGGTTATATGTTGTATGACAGCACCTATAAAAACAGACAAATATGAATGTACATGTATCATCCATGGGAGCCGGGTTGAAGGTTCAGCCAGCAAGCTGTTGGTGAACATACTAAACACTAATTTCCTAACAACTGTTTCTCACATTTGAAGGGAAATAGAGATAAAAAATGTTTATCATTGTAAATTAGGCTTTGTTTTATTTCAAATAATTCAAATCATGTAAACCTGCATATCATAGGTCAAAACCATTTTGGAATGAGAGCTTTTACTTCAATTAGAATTTTTGAGATCTGTTTCAGGAATAGAAAGAGTTCAATTAGTTCTGTTTAGTTATGACAGTTCGCCTCTATTTAATGCAGAAAACTATCTCTCCATATTTGAAATTGATCAATGGAATAAACTGAGATGATGATGTTAAACAGTTTTGCCTGAATGTGTTTCATTTTGCCTGTTTTTATTGATAATTTTTCATGAATATGACTTTATGCAATGATTTGCATTACCAAACAATGACTCATTGTACTGCAAGTAGTTCATTTTAGTCAAGTTATTGTCAACATGAAGGGAACATAGGTTTGGCACAGTTGCCACGAGTTGCTGTTTCATCCTAATCATTACAAAACATGTCACAGGTTCCAATCCAAATTTTGTCTGATTATGGTTTTAGGGTTTTCCAGGTTCCACAA